CCTTATTGCCAAAGCATGCTGAAACAGGTCATTTCACATTAAACGTAGAATCTGAGAACTGTTGCACGTGATTTCAAGATTCTCAAAAATACCTCATTAAAGTAAAACCTCGATATAATGCCCCTCGTTTAATTTGCCATCTCACTAACCACCAATATGAATGACGGTTCATTTCTCTCTCTTTCTTAGCATTCCTTTATACATTTCCCTCAATTTATCGCCAAACCTTTTTATACACCCCTTTTTTGTGGACAGATGGTGGCAGTAAAACTAAGTTTAACTGCATGTAAAAGAAATTAAAAACAAGAAATACATAACTTTCATTATAAGGATGAAAGCCTTGATATGAATTCGAACATATTGATCCAGTAAAACCAGATCGTTTAAAGGGAGGTAACTCATACGTATGTATTAACATTGTTGAGTTGGAACGATAAAATCATTATAGTTCTTTTAGTTGAATGATAAAGAAAAGAACATTTGAAATACAAATGTTTCTTCGGAATTAGTGAAACTAATTGATTTACGTTTCGATTGTAGCTTGTCAACTCCTTCTTCATATACTTTGACAGAGTTTCCGGGTTCAAAACTTTGTTGTTGGTTGTGAGATACGTTGAGATCATTAATAAAGATTATCTGGCATCTTTTCCTAAAATCTAAACCGGAAACTTTTTTTTCCGATAATAATTTTCAGCTGAGGTACACTCCGCACTGGGCTGGGACTCCAGAAATGATTAAAGATTGTGTATTTTTTACTTTAACTGATGTTTCGAGAGTAATGTTAGACTTTCAGGGGTTTATATCGAATCTCGGCAAAAATACCATCCCCACAGATGGTATAGATGTCGAACAATCAACACCATCTAATTTCCTCAACATCAAAAATCACATTTTAGTGGATGTGAAATGCTTGGTATCGTTGGGAAATTAATTAATATGTTTCTCCTTGACTTGCGATCATTATATCTTTATTTAAACATATTTATTGCCCCAAATTTGAGCAGAGGATTAGGCACAAGTTATATCAACTTATCAACGCCTTTTCCTCTAATACAGTACATATTGATATTTACATGATAGCATTTAACAAGGCATACAAACTATATTTACAATTTTTTTTTTTTTACTTAAAACCTATTGCTGGATTTGATGAAAAGTTGCACATGTCTGAATGCTTCTGTATTGGTGTCTACGGACAGATTTTCATTCCCAGATAACAATAAACCAAAATTTACTGGATATATATTCAACGAGGTTATGTTTTGAAATAGCGTCATTCGTGCTGTATTAAAAACATTCTAAGAAAAAAATACCAACATCCTCACAGGAATGTCCACAAGCGCATGATGGATTATCAACAATCTTAACACGGAAGAAATCATTTTTCAAAGAGCTGCACTGATGCCTGAGTTTCGTATGTAATAAATTTAATTTGCGTTCGCCGAAATTATAATAAGATGGTGGAGACTAATTTGCACCACTGGATCTAGCAGATTTAAAAGTATTTAAAGATGGTAATGTTCTTATTGTATTGTCTAACGAATTCCAAGGACGTAAACTCGATGGCAGAAAAGAAGAGTTGCTTGAGGAGAGTCTGGAAGAAGAAATATTGTAATCATATTGGTTCCGTAAATTGTACCTATTGTTGTTACCCACTGTGTTTGGCAAAAGGGCCGTTATAAATAGCTGGGGGTTAAATTGTTTTTCATTTTATTTAAAATATCAAATTTTCGCCTTTTTCTCCTCTCTGATAATGTTTCTAAACCCGTTTCAAAATACAATGAATCATTACTTGTATAAGAAGGCAGATCTGTTATAACTCGAGCCGCCTCTCTTTGTGCTTTCTCTCATTTCTCGGATTCAAAAGCAGTGCAACCATCCCATAATTTACAGGCATATTCAAAAACTGGTAAAATGAAAGATTTTCAACAAGTATTTGAGATTTCGTAAAAAAATAATCTTTTTCATAACCGAACTATAAACTGCCTCAACCTGACTCCCCCATTTTCCATTGGAATTGAAATTTACTCCTAAATGTCTATGAACGTCTGTAAAATTTCAATTTTGCCCATCAAACATCAAATCCAAGTCATCGTCGATATCGTTTGCATTTGAAATAAAAAGAACGTCCGTTTTTTGAGGATTAAAAGAAACCAACCAACGTTTAGCCCACTGATTTAAAGATTCTAGGTCCTTGTTGAGAAAAGTCTGTATTTTATAGCATGAAAAAGCAGAATAAAGTAAGGATGTATCATCTGCAAATAACCTGGAGTACATCAGTAATATTATTAATATATAGCAAAAAGAGAAGCGGCCCGAGTATTGAACCCTGAGGTACAACCGCGTCAATATTACCTAGTTCCGAATATGAATTTCCAATAAAAACTTTCTGTTTGCGCTGGTGTAGATAATTTTCGAGCCAATGCAATAATTCCCCTGAAATTATCATAATATACACTATCGACGCTTAAACAATCAGAGCTACCGGCTGGTCTACGATCTATTCAGAAATTATTCATAAAAAAATGTAATCATGCTGTAAAAACAGCCAGTTTCCAATGCGCATGCGTAGTTGCAGTTTTTGGTAATGGTATGGGTATCCTTAAAATTTGCAATTCATGTTTCATATGTCGATCAATTTCATCCAAGTGAGGTACTGAAGCAGATTTTATTCGAAAACTTATAATTGAATACAATGTCTAGTCTTATCAAATTAGATCAAAATAAATACATAAATACATAGGTAACAACTGTGCCTACTATCTTTTTAAAGACATTTTTAGGTATTTTTATATAATTTCATAATCCCCAAAATGCTAGACTTGCTCATTTTTTATCATTAAACCTATAAAATAATAGACAACAGAAAAAAATGATGACGTAATAACCCGCAATATTTGGCGCGGTATTTGTAATTCTAGCTTCTGATTGGTTGGAATTGCTTGGCGATTGAATTACTGTGTAATGCTATGATTTGTGCAAAATATCTTGTTTTATTAGAATTTTTATAAATATTTATGCACAATGGACTAAAAAGCTTTCTCTGTGTTCATTAATTAAAACACAAGGAATGCAATGTGCATACTGCTTTTTCGGTATATACAGTACAACCTCTAAACTAACCCTAGAAGGGTACCTTTTAAATATGTAGGTTATTTGAGACTCCAGCGAAAATAATACTGTTTCAAGTAATAAGTTTACACGCCTATGTATAAAACCTCTCTACGTTTATTCGATCATTGTAACGGTATATTTAAAACCGAATGTACGGGTTTTATTTTCCTAATTATCTGTGCTTAGTTCTGGAATTTTAAACGTATACAATCCTCAATTTGTAATCTTCTTTACTGAATTCTAAATACCGAAACGCGTATCAATAAACACGGACCTAAACTAGTCTTATATATAAAGTTTGTAAACAATGTAAACATGTCGTCTACTTATCGATATATATATTTCTCTTTGTAGATTGGTCATTAAAAATGTAGATTTTTCCTTTCATTATGACACTACGCATGCGTGGAAAAGTATACCTAGGAGACGTAGCGGAGGGGATATCGTAGTTAAATTGTAAGTATAAAATGTAAAACTGGATACGTGGAGATAAAATACAGACAGAAATCTATATGCTGTCAAAATATGCTGTGTATTTCTTAAAATGTGTATCGTTGCCTGTGTTGATCCCTGTACCATGTATAGCATTGAACCTATAGAGACAACCTAAAGTGTTACTAAATTACATGTTAATACTTGTGTATCTATAGCTATACATGTAGAAATTGTAGATATCGGGGTTTTAATGTATATAAACGTGCGGCATTATATCGGGGTTCTAATGTATAGAAACGAGCGGCATTATATCGGGGTTCTAATGTATATAAACGAGCGGCATTATATCGAGATTCTAATGTATATAAACGAGCGGCATTATATCGGGGTTCTAATGTATATAAACGAGCGGCATTATATCGGTGTTCTTACTGTATATAAACGAGCGGCATTATATCGGGGTTCTAATGTATATAAACGAGCGGCATTATATCGGGGTTCTTACTGTTTATAAACCAGGGGCATTATATCGACGTTTTACTGTATACAAACGAGGGGCATGCTATCGAGATTAAGTGTATATAAACTAGGGGCATCCTATCCAGGTTTTAGTGTATATAGACGAGGGGAATTATACCGAGGTTTTAGTGTATATAGACGAGGGGAATTATACCGAGGTTTTAGTGCTAATACACATTGGATATAACATGAAAATTGAAGTGTACGATGGTCGTTTATCCCAGGTTTCACGTATGTTATTTTATTGACTATATGTAGTTAAATGGTAGAAATAGATTATTTTTAATAATTCTATAAAGTACTTATACATTTCTGGAAATGCCTCAAGCATTATCGTAGGATATGATTTTTTTTCTGAAATTATTAATTATTGATATAACCTGCCAAATATATTCCTCTATACTCTATATAAATAAGATTTTAAAAAAATACTCATTGTTTATATTTTCATGTAGAATACACCTCTGTCATCAGAAAATCTGTGAATCAACACATCGTTATCCACTCCGTAAGCATTAGAACCACACGTCTTGTAAATGTTGTTATTTGCACTGCAACGCCTTAAAGCAAATTGTCTTGTTTTCAGATTAACGCACGTGACCAGTAACACAATGCACAAAATGCATCTTTATAGGGAATCAGCAAGAACAGATGACGTCATCAGCTCACCGGTACAATGGAACAAAATATGAATTGGAATATCTATGAGCTTCTTCAAAACATTGTATAAGAAACAAGCAAGATGTGTGACGATGACGTCATCAAATTATGTATAAAGATGAACAAAAACCGATGACGTCATGAGTTCACAGGACAGATTGCATGATGTCAATGCCGACACTGTTCAGATACTTCTTCCGGCAATAGTGATAATTTTTATTTTAATGTGTGTTGGAACAATCGGTAATCTGCTGGTGATTTACTTTTATGCAATGACACTGAAACCTACAGCCTCATACATATTCATTACAACGCTTGCGACCTTTGACCTTATATCCTGTCTCATTTCAATGCCATTGGAAATCGTGGACCTTCTACATTTTTTCACATTTGAAAGTTCCGGAGCGTGCCGGGTTCTCCGTTTTATCAATTACTTCGCACATATAGCATCCGGTGCAACTCTTATTGCAATTGCTGTTGATAGGTTTCGAAAACTTTGCAAACCGTTTGAAAGACAAATTTCAAATCGATTGTCAAAGACAATTGTGATCATCGTCATTGTTTTCGCAATTGTGTCTGCCTGGCCAAGTGTTGTGTTTAATAATGTGGAATCCGTGAATATCACAATATCTGGTGAAAATTTAATTGGCTTCGATTGTTCGACGATAAGAGACGAGGCTTATTTGACCTACATCCAGGCGTACAACGCGTTTCTATTTTTCCTCTTCCTCTCTGCTATCATCGTCCTCGTCGTTCTGTATGTGATGGTAGGAAGACAACTGTACGCGTTGAGGAGCTTCCGGTTCTACTCGACCGGAAATAAAGTTCCACCATCTAGACCCATGAGTACTATGACAATTTCTAGTGACGTTAATTCCATTTCCGGTACGACGGTCCCGGATATGTCCGTTGCAGAAACGATTCTTGAAGAGGATGACGACGAGGAAGATGCTGCAATCGTTGAAGCGTTTGAAGCCGAATTGCGACGAGGAAACCTCACACCTATCGAAGAAGACGAGTATGATGAAGATGAAGAAGAAATATTTGAAGAGGACATTGATGATTATGATGAATACATTGAAAATAGGTGTAGACCAACATCTGCAAGTTCGATGAAAATGTCATCCAAAGTGTTAAAAATGCTATCGAACAAAGTGGCACCAGAGCCGGAACGAAGCGAAATCAAGGAAATCCCTATCATGAAGCCTATACGTCAATGTCGAAGTTTTACTGAAAACAGTCGTCAGATACGCGTACATCATGGACCAAGACGAACAAAGTCTGAGATATCGATATCTAGTCGATTTCGACAAAAACACAATATGGGCGGGTCTGTCTCGCGAATGACACTCATGTCAGGTCTCGGAAGCAATTATGGTCACGAGAGCTCTTTAACGGATGTGGAAACAAGGCTGTCTCGTTGTGCGTCTGTCGATATTGATGAATCCAAGATGCGCGCACAGAACATCAACACTAAAAAGTTCACCTTTATAACAGTGTGTATAAGTATAGCTTTTATTGTGAGTTTTCTTCCATACTTGATCTTAGCGACGATGGGAACCTTTAATTCGGAGCATGAAGCTAATTATCTTGCGAGTTCGGAGCTTGTGGCCTACCAAATATTTGTGCGATCCTTTTTATTCAATAGCGTGTGTAACCCGTTAATATACGGGTTATTGAACACAGAATTCAAGAAAATGTTCTATTCTGGATTAAAACGATTGTGTTGCTTCTTGTGTGAAAAATGGCGTACTAACACAAAAGTTTCACCCGTCGGTGCACGTTGAGATTCCATAAAAATATATATAGTTGTAATAAACAAATAGCAATACCATGAGCTGTAGCGATACCAGCAAAACACCGAGGAATTATTTGGACTTATACCGTGAAAATAACATACACCAAATAACGTGAAAAGATATTTACATCAAATACTGTGAAATCATTCTGGACAAAAAAATACCGTGAAACGTCTGTACTTGTGTGAAAATTTAGATTAAATATTAAATATTATTGAGAGCGTGATAGAAGGGAAATTCCAGGCGGTTAATATCAGTTTTATTCAAGAAAACGGCGACAAAAGCGCCTGTTTTGGTACACCATGCTCGTGAAAAATATCGATATTCTGCCATACTCGTGAAGGACATGGCATTCAACCGGAAACCACCAAATAGCCTCTATATACGTGTATACATAACATCTCAGAGATTCTACACGAACGTTGTAATATAACAAGTGTGTGAGTCTCGTAGAGGTGTGGGGTTAAATATTTGATTGAAATCCGATTATAAAATCCGGATCAAAAGTGTTGATGACAATAAAGCTCTTCTGTGATAACATTTAGATAAACATTGTATTATGTATGTGAAAATGGAGTTGTGATATTCAGAAGGAACAGATGTATCGGTTGATTTTTGTTTGTACATGTATTTAGCCCACGGAAGGTGTAATGACTGATTTTATTGGTTTGAATTAAGGATTATCGAGGAAGGCTGTTTGGTATCTACAAACTTCGAATACAAATGTGAGACAAAAGTTCAGATTCATAAATGAAATTCAAAGATGAAATTTGGAAAAGCAATGACCTTTTTTTATAATAATAACGGGTGTCAAAACCGGAAGAGGAGGAAAACTCAGCATGTATTCTGTATATATGCGATACATGTGTGTAGCTATGTCAGACGGAATTGTAATGGGTACCCAAAGTATTAACATTAAACAATTATGAAACAGGTTATATCAACTTGTATCAATCACTCTTGTTTGCCCGAAGGGAAGTGTGCAGAGGGTATTATGTGGGAAACCGGAGTACCCGGAGAAAACCCACGTTGTCGGGCACAGGTGACCTCGTACCTTTTCACGCCCGATCGAGGAATTTAACCCCACTCGTCTTTGTGAAAGGCCGGTGCACTATCCACTGCGCCACTCGACCATCCACTTGGTACATGTTGATCATTCTACAAATAAAGCAAGTCTGAATCAAAAAAAAAATATGAAAGGAAGTTTTGAAAAAAAATGCTTGGAAAATGAAATCCAATTTATTACTTTTTTTTTTATATTTTTACTCCATTGTATAGAAGGTTCAGTTAGTCTACAAGCTTACTGTGGCGCGGTGTCTGTTCGTCGTCCGTAGGACTTATTTTGATATTGAATATTCCTGGGACAAGGGAAATAAGTGAAGTACAAGATGTGTGACCTTCCTGTGGACGAGGGGTGGGCCGTACATGGAGAGTTTAATTATTTTTGAAAAGACTACATCTAAACCTTTTAGGATGCAACTGTACATGTGTTGTATAATTATCACGGAAATTGAAAGTGGAGGAAAAATCTAACACTGGCTAAATCTCGCGAGATATTCTTTATTAGAACGAGAATGATGGTTGATTTTCATACTTATCAACTTGTACGTATAAATGAGATAAAATGTTTCGTGATTAGGTCTTAAATAGCGAGATAATGCCTAACAATACACGTTGTGTGATAATTATCATCAATTTGGTCCGTATATTAGCCGAGGAATATAACCGAATTTGTTTGTGTCAAATAACTGCTGGACGAGAAATACAAACATTTTTTTTTTTTTACAAAATTAGCTTTAAGGCAAAAAAAATCATCAATTTTGTACATTAAGTAGATGCAGTGTGACTCATTGTAAATGTCATCAATGCTATTCATTTTCGTTTTCCGTCATGTATGTAATATATGTGTGTATGTGTGTGTGTGTGTGCTGGAGGCAGGGCATGTTCGTGGAGATTTAAGGGGAAAGCATAAAGATCCAAAATGTTGCCATGGGCACAACAGACTTATTTTAGTTGTCCTTGTCTCCCAAAGATGAGGGCAAAAAAGCAAATCCTCAATTCTGATATTTGTAAATTAGCTGCATGGCGAGAAATAACAAAGATTGTTAGTGATATACAAAGTAGCCACAAGGCGAGAAATATCACTGTTTTTATGTAATATACATTATGTTTTTAACACTATATAATAATAGAAAATAGAATTGCTATTCAAAATAACCTCTTTCAAGAACCTCTTTACCAGGAAGTCATAGTCATTTGAGCTATTTACCCGAAAGAGCTATTTATTTAACCTGCATTCAAGTTTTAGCGGAATTTTTGTTCATGGAGACAGACTTTGCTTTATTACATGCATCTTTACAAAAGAAATTGAATACTATTTGTTGTCGGTATAATAAAACAGTTATTTTATGGGCATTTCGGGAAATAACACTTTTATTGTCCCCCTTGGCATAAACTATTTCCCCGGCTTCGCCCCGGGAAATAGTTAATGTCTCGGGGGACAAGAAAAGTGCTATTTCCTTCACAACCATGCAATAACTGTATAATGTTAAATAAATAGCTTCATATGCCGAAATTTCACCTTTTGTGCGTAAAATAGCTGCTGGGCTCAATTTTGTTCATAAAATGACGACCTTTTTTTTCGCGTTAATGTCAAATAACATTGATGTTGAACTATGGGTGTTACATATGATCATTATATACACCTAAACAAAAATCCTTATGAAACCCCACACAATAGAGTTGCGCGCACTATTGAACAGGAATTACCTCAGAAAGTGATTAACAAAGATGAGTTCTGGTTCAGAGACTTGGAAAGCGTCATAATCCATTATTATAATTGTTTATTCCAGTGGGATCAATAGAGAAGAAAACACTTATCATGAATACACGTTAGACTTACCAAAAGGACAATCACTTTGAAGTGTGTTTTATTTATCATTTCGGTATTTTACTCGCGATTTTCCCGTTGTGATTCAACAGCTTTAGACTTGTTTTCGTTGATGAATACTTAATCAGGGGCGACCACTCCAGATTATATTTTTGTGTAAAGCTGAGGATATTTAATTGAATAAAGGCCGCAGTGGCCAAGTTGTTATGGCGTCTGACATTCTGCTACCACTAGCCCTCCACCACTGGGTCGCGGGTTCGATACCTGCGTGGGGCAGTCGCCAAGTACCGGCCATAGGGCGTTGGTTTTTCTCCGGTAACTCCGGGAATCGATCAATTGAATATATATTGTTCGAATGAAAATATATAATCAAATATTCAGTTTGCATGACCTGTGCGGACTTTTAAATGTGAAGAAGCGTACCGGACTCGAATCCAGCAGCATGTGACCATGCGCATGCGCAGCCACTGAAATCATATCTTATTTCTCAAGCAAAATATTTAAGTACAGCAAGAAAAGCTTAACTGTTCTTCATTAATAGAGATTGATAACTATTTACCATTATATGACATCGCCACAATATTCCAACCGCATTCAGATGGCTTTCATACAGGCTATGAAAGCCAAGACCCGATTGTTGACGTTATCATCATTATTATAACGTCATAGTTGTTTCGTTGGATATACCACAGACCATCTCTGGGCAGCTGGCTGTTCTATTTAGTGAAAAGGTATACAAGATAAATACATCAATTTAGCTAAATACTGAAAAAAAAGTAATCGAATTGAATTTTCAATAAATTGGAATGATTCCAAAATGGTAAATGTAAGTTTTAAAATGCCTTCAGTTGGCATTCATGGGCAGCCGTGGATTGGTGACTTGAATAATTAAACCTCTGCGGATTCGTTTTTCAAGATTCTTACTTACCATTACAGTACCGTTTAATTATCGCAAGTAACTCATCGTAATAACTAAACTTCTGCCAGCTGCGGATCGGCGATTTTAACAAATAACCCGTTGCCAGCAGCGAATGCGTTATTCAAGATTATCGCTTGCTAATTATAATTTCCTGGAGGAAGGTTCCAGCAGGTTCGTCATTGCAGGTTACTTACGTCAATGACTAAACTTCTGCCAGCTTCTCCCTCCTTTAGGCGTTATTTCGTTATTTAGCTTTGGCGCTTTGGCGTCTTTTCGTCTTTTCGCTTTGGCGCTTTGGCGTTATTTCGTTATTTCGTTATTTCGCTTGGCGTTATTTCGCGGGCGACAAAGCGAAAAGACGAAATGTCATATATCAGCCACCATACATAGGGAGATATTAGCCAGGTGGTATAGGACTAGTAGTTAGCGCCTAATAAGGCAGCTCCTGCGAATTCCTCAAAATTGTATTAATAAATGTACATTGTATATGCTAATTGTATTGATTGTATGAATTGTATATCTATGTATACTGTAAAGCGCTTAAGAGTGGCTTATTCTAGCTAGATAGGACGCTATATCAAATGTTGTATATTATTATTATCCCCCGCTTTCACTAAAACGGGGGATATTGATGTTGGTTCAAACTTGGTAACAAAGTTAAATGCCTTCAGGGCTCGGCCAAGTTTGACAACCAGTTTAATCGGACTCCATTTGGCGGAGTTATGGCCCCTTGATTAACTAAAACGTCATTATCTGCAGTTTTCGCTTAATAACTCTAGCAAATATGTTCCTCTGTCTTTCCACCCATCTCGGGCACTCTTTGGTTTTCGTGTAATAATTTCTGTAGACGTTGTGCAGATATTTCAACCAAATTCCGTATACACATCCGACTCATGCTAAATTTGCCAACCGATGTGATTTGTGCATCTTTACGGATAAATAATGAGGTTAATAAATTCTGATGGATTAAACCGTAATACCTGAATGTTCAATAAAAAGTCTAACTTCTGTATAAAGTTAGTTTTTTTTATTTCGAGTTTCAAGCTATACCTTATGTCTCAACAACACGATACTCGCATGATTAAATCTAACCTCAATAATGTTTACCTACAATATGTCCTGCAAGCGGAGGATATAAATTCCACGAATTTGCTTGTTATTATTAAATGTCAACTCCAA